ATCCCCTATGACAAAATTGAAAAAGAATGGGGATATAGGGCAGCCTTACCGAACTCAACTGGCGATGGCAAAAACTGGTCATTGGCCCTAATCAGCCCTATCCATTTCCCTCCTACAAACATCTAATAGTGCATCAGGCAGCCTGGCTGTCGCACGCCACGGCATGGATTGCAAATTCTACAGCCTCGTCAATCACTGAATCTGGGGACCTTCAACGTGAGGACTTTGATCCAGCTAGGTCAGCAAGCTCGTCTGGCGCGTACAATACAATCTTTAGAAATCAACATTTGCTACGTGTTGGAAACTCGGATCCAGGATCTTACTACTCTAAGCCACTTGAACGCGCCAGATTTGTCGACGAGATACGTTCTTCGCACATCAGGCAACGATGAAGCTCGTTCAGTAGGTCAGCGCGAGGTAGGTATTGTACTGAGTAATAGGGCGGACTCCTCTCTTATCGATCGGATCCCCGTCAATAGTCGTTTATGCGCAGTGGGTCTCCAGGGCGTCCGGAAGGGAAGCAACACTAAAAGATGTTTGTTCATGGTATCAGCATATGCACCGACCAATTGCAGTTCTGTACCCAATGGGACGCTTTCTACGATGAACTCACCGATCTCATCCGGATGAGTCGAAGCTCCGACATAGTTGTACTTGCAGGTGACTTCAACGCGCAGTTTGGAAAACTGAGCGCATCAGAAGCTTGCCTAGGCGGAAGTTGTGCCCTGCCCTGCCAACGAACAGATAACGGTGATCGACTTCTTCAATTCTGCTTCGACCATCATCTTATTTTATCAAGCACCAGCTTCCGACACAGCGCTCGACGGACGGCAACAGGGCGCTCCAGTTCAACTGGTACGTTAGCTCAAATCGACCATATAGCAGTAAGCTACCGTTGGCGTGGCTCAGTGCAAAATTGCAGGTCCTATTGGACCACCTGCGTTGAGTCTGACCACGCATTAGTTTTAATGCAGTTCACTCTCTGACCGACTGGTCGGTGACAAAACCAGCAAGCTCGGATATCTCATCAACGACTGTCCGTTCCAGGAGTTCATGCACTCTATGAGTCAGAGCTAGTGCGCAAGCTAAGTGCGCTTCAGCGTGGCGATGTAGATGAGCAGTGGGATCAGATTAGGCGAGCAATGCATTCCGCAGCGAATGTTGCTTGTGGGTCTAAGCCTCAAATCCGTCGGAGGTATTGGATATCTCAGGAGTCAGCAGTCGTGATGGAGGAAAAACGATAACTCCTGACCCGCCAGGATCAAAACAGAGTTAGGTGGTGTCTACGTCGGCTCACGAAGAGCCTCAAGAAGGACCGTGAGCACTGGTGGGCAACAGTAGCTAGTGAAATGGGAGTAGCAGCTGCATCAGGGAATAGTAAAAGACTGTTCCGACTGATACACAATACGGGAGGTCGGCGAACCCCAGTTAATGAAACAGTCTGCGATAAGAGGGAACGAGTTTTTCACAATAGGGGTCAACGACTCGATCGCTGGGCAGAGTACTTCAGCGAACAGTTCAGCTGGCCTGCCGCCAATCAGATTGCCTCATCAGCAACTGAAGCTCTTTGGGCAGTGTCATACGATCCTCCAACGGAAGCAGAAGTTCAGTCTTGCATTCAAGCTCTGAAGCGAGGAAAGGCAGCAGGACCTGATGAGCTCCCTCCTACTCTTTTCAAGATGGGAGGTGATAACGTCGTAAGCTCTATTACTGCCTTACTGCACCAAATTTGGACACAAGAGCGCATTTCTTCAACTTGGGGCGAATTACTGATCGTTCCCATTTTCAAGAAAGGATCCCGCAACGATTGCGAAAACCACCGCGGGATAAGTTTCATCCCGATCGTCACCAACGTGCTAGCGTCAGTTATACTTCGACGTTTGAATCCTTCAAGAGAGACCAACATCCGTGGACAGCAAGCAGGATTCCGGCCTGGCCGTGAATGTATTGACCAGATTTTTACGTTACGTCAGGTCCTTGAGCTGCGTTATACTCACCGTCGGCCAACGATCTCAGTGTTCCTTGACCTGAAAAGAGCCTTCGACTCAGTTGACCGCGAAGCTCTGATGAGTTCTCTTCGAAAAGGATTGCCCCAGAAGTACTTTAACCTACTGAGGTCAGTGTACTCACATACCTCCGGTAGTGTAAGGGTCTACAACGAACTAAGTAGGCTGTTCGTCACCAACAGCGGCGTTCGTCAAGGGTGCCCGCTTTCGCGTTCCTGTTCGATTTCGTCGTAGACGAAATACCGGAGAGTGCACTAAGGGTACTCCAAAACGTAGGTATTGAATGGAGAAAAGCTGTGCGATTTAGAGTACACCGATGACATCGTCTGTCTGATCGAATGTATGGAGGACGCGCAAAGCACACTTGCTAGATTAACAAGTGCAGTAACCACATTCGTTATGTGCTTTGCACCTTCAAAATGCAAAGTGGGTTTCGTCTACTCCCGCTACGACACTAAATGGCCAGGATTTAGTTGTGGTGGATTACTTTTCCTACTTAGGTAGTTGCGTGACCAATGACGGTAGTGCAACAAAGGAGATAACCGCCCGCATTTCCAGGGCTCGAGCAGCATACGCAGGACTGAAACACCTTTGGTATAGATGCGACGTTTCACTGAAGCTGAAAGGTCGTGTATATTGTGCTAGCGTTCGTTCAGTCCTGCTTTATGGTTGTGAGACTTTGAATTTGCGAGTAGAAGATATCCGCCAATTAGAGGTTTTTGATTATCGCTGTTTACGTAGTTTAGCCCACGTGGGATGGAGCGAACGGGTTAGTAACGTGGAGGTAATCCGTCGTGTGTTTGACAGTCTGTCAGGTACAAACCTGCTAGCACACTAGGCTTCGCTGACTAGAGCACGTATTGCGTATGCCCAGCCATCATCTGCCGCACCGCGCTTTATTCGCTGTAGCCAATCCAGGCTGGAGGAAACCACGTGGAGGTCAACAGGTGACGTGGAGACGAGGCATGAAGAAATGCACAGAGCCATTAGGTAGAGTAGGTGTCTCTCGCCTTCCAGGTTGGGGTCCGAAAGACTCCACAACTGGTTGGTTGGAGACGTTGAAGGATATGACAAAGAACCGGCAGCAGTGGCGTTCTTGTTGTTGTTTCTTATCAGGTCAAAATGCTTGAAGTGGTATGTTTGCAGAGTTCGATTGCGTACTCTGTGTGTTGACCATAGTGGTTCACCTTCCTCTCCCTCCCTCGAAATAGATCCAATCCCTGTCCAACTTAAATTTTACCACTAACCTTGTATGCATTGCGAGTTTGGGAGTGATCAGTGAAGTTTGCTTCACTGTATTTCGCTGTGCGATGATGATAATGACTTGAGGTATGACGATACAACTCTTTGAGGAGAAATATATACTTCTTAGGTACTCCATTCCTCGACAAACAGCTCCATAGTGCGGTCCTATCGATAGAGTCAGAGGCGCTGCGGATGTCAAACACAAACACCGTTGGTCTTTGGTAGGCATAGCGGTGTTCTAGCAGCTATCGGAGGGTGAAGATTTGATCCATGTACCCACGACCGGATCGAAACCCAGCCTGCCTCTCACGCGTCTCGCACAATCTACGAAGAATAATGAACGCCAAAAGCTTAGACTCTATCGGTATTAGGCTTATACCCTTGTGGCTGGCGCAAACACTGCGCGGGCATGTTATGCAAGGGTGAGCAAAAACTGACTTCAAGCACGCCTTGAAACTACGATCTGGTTATGTAGAACATGTTTGGATTTTCCGTTGATAATTTCAAAATAAATCCACTCATCGAATGGAAATGCCGGAATAGTCTAAATACCCTTACGAATCTATAAAATCCTCACACGCTACTAGTTTCCCTCGTTTGTTCATTGATCGAGAGGTTGAGTAGCAGAAAGACTGGAAAAACTGGAGTGAGGAACCGCAGGATTATGATTGTATAAAATGAATTTGAAACCGAGAGTACGGACTTCAGGTTTTCTGAAAAACACTTAATCACAAACATTAAATGTTCTTGGTTGAAATATGCAGTGTTAAACGCAACGAAGTCGGCCACAGTAGCCGGTTTTGAGCACAGAACACGAACAACGAAACTTTAAAGGTGATATGGTGGGTCTACTAGGGTATATAAACCAATTGGATCGGTGTTAGTAAGAAAGAGAACAACTCTGGATACCTTTAAAGTGACCTTTGACTTCAGGAAACCAAACAGCATAGTAGTTAGAACTGATTGGGTGAAAACAACAATTTAGACTTACAATCAATAACTTGTTTACCATGTTGAAATATTCCACTTTCTGTTTATATCCTAAAAACACTATTTTATGAACAATTTTCATGAAGAAACGGCGGTACGGCTTGTTGACATACACAAAATGGGGGAGGTAGGAGGGATTCGAACTCATGTCCTGCGGACTGCTATTACGATAACTTGAATCGTAAAGACGGCTGCTTGATTAATAACGACCAGGGGTCAATGAACCCAGTAGTAAAATACGCACTTTCAGGTTTTGGATGTTGAATACAAGAACCTACATTGTTGCGAAACACAGTGAACATTATGATTGCGTCTGAGGCGAGAATCGGATGAACAAGACCGAAGTGCAACATTTGCCAAACAACTGCCCATCTTGGAGGCCCATAAAGTTCATTTTTTCATTGTACATAAACTGTAGATAGAAAGAACTTACGGAAACTGCTAACCACCGCTGGGGTCAGGGTCCCAGATTCACCGGACACCGTGGAACCACGTTTTGAAGATTTTGTATCGGACGCTTCGATGGATGTGTCGGAAAATCCCAAAGTCTTCGCAGCTAAAATGGCAGCCATTTGGCGTCTCCGGTGACGTTGTTTCTCTTCCAGCACCACCTTTTCCCGATTAGCCTCATCCCACTTCCCGATTTCCATCAATCGCTGATCAGGCCGGAGGCGACTATCAGTTGGGCAAACACCGGGCTCCTCCTCGTTTAGTTGAAGAGCGAATAAGGTGAAGTAGTGCATACGCTCTGCGTCTGGGGGTAACGGATTTCTCTGCCATGCTACTCTAGCCGGACCAGTTTCCAGAACGGGTTTACCGTTTTTAGGTTGTCTGGTGCTCACTACCGGGGCATATTCCATAGATTCATCCCAGGTGCCGTTTAACACATAACGAACCGCCCCCGATTTGTCTGTTACAGCTCCCGTTACCTTCAAGTACAATATCGAGAATCGAGATTACTGTGCGGCTAACAAAACGTGACACCTAAAGACGATCACATCGTGAATATGATGGACATCAGTCAGGTTCATTTGAACAATCACCAATTATAAATTTCATTTTTTTATTTTGCTTTCACCAAATAAATCGATAAGAGTGAGAAAGTACGAGTTCGTGTGTGTACATGCTCACATGAAAATAGCTTCGAGCGTCACACAATTCGATCACATTTTCAGTCACCGAATCGGACGTTTCACATGGGAACTGTAGTTGCCGAGCCATAGACAGACCATCGCTATTCGTTTCCCATTTCAGGTTTTACAACCACTAACCACGCATCATCGTGTGCCGGTTTTGGTTACTGCCTATCGACTGCTCATTTGGATAAGAGTACACGGAAGAAAAGAATGTTGAGAGCACAGTCGAATATAAGAGAATTCATGTACAATGGAGTTGCAAGAATAATGAGTACATGAACGAGGGTCACTGTTTGCGACACTCAGCCATATCACTGTTATTAAACTTGGTTACCATGACCTCGGGGTCCGCATTCAGGAAGCGTAACGGCACTTATATGAATTAATGTCCCGGTTAGGCTTTTTATACCCTCATGCCAAGTTTTAGTTTGACCGCCCTTGACCTTTTTCCATCCGCCGCCTGCCTCGGCAAACGTGGAGCGACTGCCAACCTATTGGGTGACATGCGTAACACACGTCCCAACCAGCGTAGTCTATGGAGATTGACTAATTGTTCCAGTAGACGATCGCGACTGCCTAAAACTCTGCGCCTATCCTCATCATTGCACCATAGTGCATGGTTAATGGTTGTACAAACTGAAACGGAAATCATTGCTTGTCCGGCTTCCCGACCAAATGCGGCGTTAGAACACCGACAGTCTATTTTTACCTTGTTCCCGTCTTCTACTACTTACTTGGTAAATAGCTTGGGCTAAGGATGTAGGCGTTTTTTATTAGAGAAAGGAGAAAGAGAAAGGGGCAAACCCCATAATCTAAGAATATACTGTACATGGGAAGGTTAAGAGAACATTCATGCTAGAACCAGCTTGTTGATTCTGCCCTTAAAGACAATGATGTTGTAACTTGGAGAGGAGACTGAAAGGGAGTGTTCTTGAGAAAAAAGATGACTGGAAGGAGTACGATAAGATTGGTCAGGTTAAAGTTCTACCAGCTCAATGGTATGCACCAGATTGCACACTAGCTCCATCCATCAAGTTTGTTCAATACCAAGAACTGCCGTGTGCTCTAACGTGGGTAAAGTCTGTATCCGCTACATAATGCAAGACAGACAACGGATCACAGTAAAAGTTTGTGATAGACTGAATGGATACCAGAAAACCCCGATCAAAAGCTATCCGAAACGGTTGCAGAAAATAAACTGGCATGGACCAAGATGACGCTACTGATATCGGGCTAACAAAACCCTATTGCCTTAAGCCGTTTGGAGATTGTGCTCAACATGTCGCTGTCCAAGTAAACACTTTAAATGAAATCCAGTATTGTACATCAAACGTGCAAAACCTACATGCAGTGAGTGGACAAATTTGTTGACTTTGCCTATGATGAATTAGTTTCATGACAAATTGTCTGACCTTAACAGGAATAGAACTGAAGAACGACAATTGTACGCAGTTAGTTGGTGACAAACAAATGACCAACCCAGACAAGAAGAGTATCCACAAGAAGCCTATGTGGCATTAGTAAGAACCAGTCCAAAGCAGCAAAGTAAGACCGTGCATCCAGATAATACTTCATAGGAGCACACCGGCCTTTGTATAGTGCAGTGAAAAAAACGTATGAAACCTCTGAGATTCGGTATCGAGCAAGTCAAAGGTAGCTGGACAAAGAACCAATGCGGGCGAAAGACCGAAGAACCCGTGTGGGAGCTTCTAGAGACTTGTCAAACAATGTCTTTGGGTTTCGGTCCAGTCTGCTGTTCGCTGGTGCGTTGATTGGTGATCCGCGATTAAGGCGCAATCGCTAGTCTCATGCACCCAATGACACAGATGGAACGTGGATGCTGCTTTCAACTTTCCAATTTTTTTTCTACCCCAAAAGACAACAATGAAAACTGGGCACGAAAGGGCATGGTTACCAAAAATATAGAGACAGTTGTAAAAGAACTGAAGTCACCATGCTTTTTCAAATACATACTATTCTGTAATGAAGAGCAGTCGGATAACAGCTCAGTCACGAAGGCGTACTGTTACCACATGATAAAGGGTAATCTACACCCGGGACTTGGACTGGCGTATCACAGAAGGCCCCGGTGGGATAATTGGGAGATATGCACTTTTAGCTTTCACTTCTTTCAAAAATGAGAGTCAGAATCTTTCGAATACCTACTAACTCGATTTTCATAATAAACAGAATGGGAAGGTACCTGTTAGCATTTCTATCCGATGAGAGAGCGTTAGTTTCACCATTCACAAATGGACTGATAAATAGATTTCGAGAGCTGGGCTGGGTGGCTTTACCATACTATATCCTTTACAGTTATACTTATATCCATCGCTATATATATATATATAGTGGTGCCATTTTTATTACTGATTGTATCTACGGCAGTAAATATGATATTTCAACTTCAACCTTTTAGAATACCAACATTTTCCAGTCTCGAATAAACCGATGCATTTGTGCATACTCCAGGAAAGGTTTATACAACGTTACCAATAATGCATGTGCGATTCAACAGAATTCTTGCTAGATAGAAGATAATATTATAGGGACAGGGCCGCATCCTTCAGTTGGTATTCAACAACATGTGTGCACAAAACCAATATGAGTAATCATTCAAACTCCATTAAACCATTCGTAAACATAAAATTCATCATGAAAAGACTGAACGGGCAACAAGATAATCGGGTCTGGGTAAGTGGTGAGTCCGGACATAAACATGCGCGGTCTCTCATTCCGAGTTTTCCCAAAGTTCTGTGTAATTCGTCTTATAAACCGTGTAGCATCGGTATTAAACTGTCTTGGCGTGAAAAATCCATGAATTCAACCCTAGTGGCATCAAATGTAACAAGATATACAACTTTGAGCGTCTCATTCGAGTAGCATCATATCGCCTGAGTTAAGTGACTACAAAGGCTATTAATACATCTGTTTCAAGGTTACTTTGGCCATTCTGACTAAAAGTTCGATGAGCCGACTAAAGCAGAATTCATCGAGAGGCAATGTCGCACCCAGGCCTGATCAAAAACGGTACATGAAAAAGTCACATTGTTTCACTTAGGCAATTGGACAATGTGGTCAAATTAAGTGCTCCCCCTTGCCAACAGCCAGACCATGTGACCGATCAAAGTAACTGATACCAAAAAGACAATGATGTTTTGTCAGTAAGGAATAAAAGAAGAGTAAGGTTGAACAAAACCCAGAACCGTTAGGTTTGTACAATTAATACTGCCACGGATAAGCTAGTTCTCTATGAGAATTTCTGCGTTTTCGGTGGACAATGGATTTGAACCCATCTACTGTTGAAAGCTGTCAAACTGTTCGCCGTTACTAGATTTCAGGAAAACAGTACTTCAAGTGAGTCATCTATTCGACCCCAATAAAACTGAACAATGATGTAGGTTTTTGGTCTGCGTACCTTCATGATCCCGCAAGCCACACAGGATAATTTTACACAGCTTCAGATTCAGATCAATAGGAGGACAAAGCACAGCCTCACAAGGCTGGCTGAATGGGCATCTGGTTTCCCTTGACTATCCACTCGCCGCTGAAGAGATCACTCCAATAGTTTACTGGTTAAAAGCTTCACTAGACGGATATAGGAGCGGATTATCCGACAGTGGGATAAATCAAACTTCATTGGACAGCTGCCGTTCACGTACGTTAGGCAGACTACCATCAATAAAGTGCTGTCCCGACCGCACTTTGGCCTTCCCCTTGTGGTACACGAGGCAAAGGGCCGATCCCGGAAAGCGCACGAACAACACACCGCTGAATAAGACCCGAAGGCCTTGGGTGACGGATACCTAGTGGTTTTTACACAGGTATCTCGTCACGTACCTGCCTTGGGTCTACGCTCTATTGTCTTTTAGGCTAGACATTTGAATCTAAGGCTCCAATTAGGGTTTCCAAAGAAAATCCCTTTTGTAGATGTGGGTCACGATGAAATAGCTCCTTATAATTTTCAAGCGCATCCAGTCTTGATCAACAGTAAAGACACCAGTAGACAAGATTTCAGTCGAATCAGTCATTTTTAAGTGAATTAAACATCGAAAAGCTAAAACCAAATCTGTTATGCACGATAAAAATTTACCCGACGAGGCGTCTCGCTGGAAAAGTAGGAATATGCTTTGTAGGAAAGATGGCACTTTTCCCCAGTGTTATGATTGACAATGTCCATTTCACCACTGTTGTCGATCCACAATCGACCAACAATAATATTATGCA